GGAGGCTGCTCAGCACGCAGCTGTGAGAGGCACCGATGCTTCCTTGCGTCAGGGGAAAGGAAACTGACTGGTCCCCACGCTGGCCAGTCAGAAGATAATCGGGGGCAATAGAGACAGGTCATCCAGAGGACCTGTACTCTACAAAACAGGACACTCAGTCGCGCCAGACGTAGATGTCAACAGAGGAAGTGGAGGTGGTTGAGAAGGTTGGAAAGACGTTGGATCCGACGTGCACAGCGCATTAAGCAAAAACAAGGTTCAAGTAATGACACCCGGGAGATGGCTTTAAAGTCTCCAATAGAGGTGGCCACCTGGATCCGTTAATAGCGGACAGAGGTTAATTTCCGTTAATTTTCCGTTAATTAATGGAAAATAACGAAAAAAGACAAAAATTAACCAAAAATTAGCGGATTTTTGGATTTTTGCGGGATTTTTGGGTTTTTTTCATACTTATAGTTTATGGAATTCGTTATTAGAGAGTATGTTTGTATTTTGTTTCAACCTATGCATACTAGATTTTTAACTAGCCGCAGTTGTTGTGATTTTTTGGGTTTTTTTCGATTTTTTTGGATTTTTTTCGTTTTTTCTAAATTTTTCTCCCTTTTTCTTTAACGAAATTTAACGGACAGCTGATAAAAATTAACGAACCGGATTTAACGGACCGGATGGCACCTTTGAGTGGCCACCTCTAGTCTCCAGCGCAGTTGGGAGAGACCTCTAAGGTGTCCGTTCAGAGGACTGAGCCTGCTCCAGGAGCTGATGTTGTGGGTTCACCAGCCCCAAGCACTAGAGTGAAGGACCACGTGCTGCTAGTTGTGAATTTCACAACGGTTTTCAAAGCCGTGGTGAAAGGGACAAGTGTCCCAGCGTTGATTGACAGTGGAGCGAGCAGGTCTTTTGTCAGTGACCGGCTTCGGTGTCATCAACCATTGCAGTTTGTGGGAGCGTATTCAGCCTTGGAACTGGCCAATGGGGAAACCATAGTTTCCACCGGAATCGCCCCACGAGTACTGGTATGCATCGGGAAGGTACCTTGTCGACTCGCTTTGACTGCAATACCGATGATGGAAGGGGTCCAGCTCATATTGGGAAAGGACTGCCTGGATATTATGAACCCTTTGGTGGATTGGCGGTCAGACACGTTTTTTTTGCGTAATGGCTCACAGCTAGAGCCAATCCAGGGAATTCGTGAGAAGTCTGGCAAGCATTGTCAGATAGTCGACAGAGGTCTGAACGGTCTCCAGTGCTACTTTAGAGACCTCAAGCAGGGTGATAGTTCTCCTACTACAGACTTGGGAAGGAAGTTGGCTGTACTATCATCACCTTAGTTCTGGCAATATGATTCTTTGGCGAAGGAGTGGGTCCGGCAGCCTGCAGGGCTGCAAAGTTTGTCATCGCCGGGAACGGCTGATGTTCCCTAGGGGGGGAGTACCAAACCCAACAATTTTTCTCCAGACAACAACAAAGACCCTCACAAAACCCAGGGTCCCCCAAGGTGCAGAACCACAAGGACACGGAGAGTGGCAGGGAAGTGTGTACGGCAGCCTGTACATGACAAATTGGATTTCATTTCATTGCATCAGGCAACAAAACGGGCAAATAAAACTGACCTGCCTATGTACTTGTGCATTCTGAGGGCTACCGAGCTTCCTTTAGAGAAAAAGAAAAGGCCAAGGTCCAAGGTTGGTGCAGCACGGGGCATGACTGAGGGCGAAAAGCAGAGATTATCAAAGGAAACAGGCCCAGTTACTCAGGATATGCCGATGGAGACAGTGGTTCAGCAGAAGGTCTAGGAGGCTGATGAGGAAGTCAGGGAATAGTTGCAGCAGACACTGAAGGAATTCCAGGACGTGTTCCCTGACCAGCTGCCATATAGTCCACCTCCGAAGCGAGTTGTCGATCATGAAATTGATACTTTGCCAGGTGAGGCACCGCCTCATAAAAGTCCATACAGACTCAGCACGGCAGAGTTGGACAAGCTAAAGTGACATATCGACATGTTACTGGAGCAAAGGTGGATCAGACCCAGCTCAAGCCCGTATGGCGCCCCTATCCTTTTCATCCCCAAGAAGGATGGGAAATGGCGCATGTGTATAGACTATTGGGCATTGAACAAAATCACTATCAAGAATTGGTATCCGCTGCCAAATGTGGAGGAGTTATTGGACCGACTTCATGGAGCACGCTACTTCATGAAGATTGACCTCGCCTCTGGTTACCATCAAATTAGGGTGCGAGAGTCAGATATACACAAAACAGCCTTTGTGAGTCGGTATGGTAGCTACGAGTACATGGTCATACCATTCGGGTTGTGCAATGCGCCAGCAACCTTCCAGCGCATCATGAACACAGTACTACGGGAAGGCTTGGACAAATATGTATTGGTGTTCCTTGATGACATCCTTATATACAACAGAACAAAGGAGGAACACCTACAGCATATCAGGAAAGTTCTGAGTAGACTTCGGTCGGAGAAGCTGTTTGGGAGGCTGAAGAAATGCAACTTCTTCAGAACCGAAGTTGAATATCTGGGCTTCGACGTGGGAGCTGAGGGGATCAAGCCCTCATTGTCAAAGGTCAGAGCAATTTTAGATTGGCCGACACCAACCAACGTCACTGATGTCCGATCATTTTTGGGGCTGTGCAGTTTCTATCGCAGATTTATACGGTCGTTCAGCGAGCTGGCAGCACCCATGACCGACCTCACGAAGAAGGACAGGACCTTTGTTTGGGAAGACGAAGCAGAGAAATTATTTAACCAGTTGAAGACAACAATGGTGACTGCTCCAGTGTTGCAGTTACCGGATTTCGAGCGGGCATTTGTGGTCACAACGGATGCGTCAGAGGTATCCGTGGGAGGTATCTTGCAACAGGATTTTAGGAACGGGTTGCAACCCGTTTGCTATGAAAGCAGAATGCTCAACCCCACTGAAACCCGGTACAGTGCATACGAAAGGGAATTTTTGGGCATCACCTGGGCTGTTGGGAAATGGCGGCATTATTTGGCCAGCCGCCACTTCGTCATTCAGACAGACCATGACTCTTTGAAAAACCTGCCCAACCAGCCTGCTGTCAATAGGCGGTTTTGGAAATGGGTGCAGGTATTGTAGGGATATGATTGTGACATTGTCCATATTCCAGAAAAGGACAACCCTGCAGACTTCCTCACGCGCAGGAGTATTGAGGAATTGCACAGTATGGCGGATGTGCGTGCGGAAGAGGAGTCATTGGTCCAACGTCTTAAGTTGAATGAAGGTGACAAGGGGGAGAACGAAATACAAAAGAAACTTGATGAAATTTTTAAGAAGTTGAAAACTGGGGAAGCAGTGGTGGCTGCTGGTGGGGGAGATCATTCACTTTATTTTGTACATTCTTTGTTGGTGACCAATGCCCGTGTCACACTGGAGGAAGGCTTGAGGGACTCCATTAAAAAGGGTTACCAAGAAGACAGCAAATGGGCAGAAGTGATGAGCCAGTTAGAATCTGCCCGAGGACGTGTCACCAGGATTGGGAATCGTGATTACCGGTTGAGTCACGGATTGCTTGAGATTAAAGTAAAAGACAACTCAGAGGACAGGCGACCTTGGAGGTTGGTGGTGCCGGATGTGGAGGATGCCCGCAGAAAGATTATGGAGGAGATACATGCAGTACCATACGCAGGACATTTGGGCTACCACAAGACACTCAAGAAGTTACAGCAAAACTTCTACTGGCCAGACCACACAATGGATGTGAGAGATTATGTGTTGGGATGTGAGGTCTGCCAGTCTGAGAAGAGTGTCCACAAGGTGCCGGCTGGACTACTGCAGCCTTTACAACTTCCAGAGGAGAAATGGAGCGACATTAGCTTGGACTTCATCATAGGTCTACCGGTCAGTGAGAGGAGAAACGACGGGATTCTGACAGTTGTAGACCGGGCAACGAAGATGGTACACCTGGTACCAATTCAGCAGACCATCACAGCTGTTGAAATTGCCCGTGTCTACTGGGAGAACATAGGGAAACTACACGGGATCCCCAGGTCAATTGTCAGTGACCGTGATCCAAGATTTGTGTCCAAGTTTTGGCAAGAATTCTAGAAGTTATTGGGGAGTAAGCTACGGATGTCCAGTGCCCACCACCCTCAAACAGATGGTCAAACGGAGGCAGCAAATAGGGTGGTGGAGCAAGTCCTCCGATGCACAATCCATGCGAGTCAGGACATCACCGACCGTTTCTCCTCCATAGGGTTCAGTCGTATGCAAATTACTTGCCGTCTGCATTCTTGTCGAAGCGCCATCCTATTCAAATAGATGACAGCCACAGCCTCATTCGAGATAAGGAATTCATTAATTATCTGTATAGAGCTACCTGTGCTCTCCTACCAGGCTCCCACCAGGCTTGGTCAAAGGCATGCGGCACCATTCCATAACCAGGGAAATGCATGCATTTCAGGCAAGTATCGTGTATGTGCGTTGTAACACGACTGGGAACTGGGCCAATAGCCGTATCGAATATTGTAACCTTACACAGAACCCACCAATCCCAAGACTAATAATAAGAAACTCCAACGCCATCGCTGTGAGCTATACTGAGCGCCATTGGGCGCCATGATGTTCAAAATCGCCACACGCAAGGTTGCCTCTCCGCGTTTCCCTTTAAAACGTATGATTTCGCCCCCACACCCTGTCAAGTCCCATCCGTTTCTGCATAGACTCCATTTCGCAAGGCAGCAACAGGAAAGGTGCAGCGAACAGCACCAGGCTTGCTCAACGGCGACATCAAGAACACAACAGAAACGCTTGCATAATATCTAGCCCATGATACACCAAATACAGACCTGTATGACTCAGTGGCAGTGGAAGCGGACGAATCCCCATCACCTCCCACCACCAACCGCTCCGTCGCCCAATGCTAAAATATAATTTCGAAAAAGAAACAAGAAACACACAGACATCCCTTCTCCAAAATCTCCAAGATTCAAATGATCAAAGCTTCCTTAACATCCTTGTTGTCATGCCTCAGTTCGTTCTGGATCCTATGTAATGCGCAAGGCCTACCAAAGGCGCAACCCTGGTAGAGTTGAACGAGGCCAGCTGGGCCACGGCCTCGTCGATCAGGTGCTGCGCAACTTCCCGCGACTTCTCCAGCCCCAACAGCTTAGGGTACGTCGTCTTGTCAGACGCCAGGTCCTTCGCAGCTGTCTTGCCCAAGTGCTCCGACGTCTGCGTGACGTCCAGGATGTCGTCGATGACCTGTGGGTGTGACAGAGCTGATCACAGACACTACTTTGCTCGGGGAAAATAGGAAGCTGACAATTAACTCATTGCCTTCTTCTGTAAAAAATGGTGACTGTGAGGGCGAGGGAGCGCTTAATATATAATAAGTGATATGTGGCGTGCTTATGGTGGGAAGTAAGTATAGTGAACTTGGTCTTATGGTGAATGTACATGGAGACAATGGAGACAGGAAATGAACATTAGCGCAGTGACTGTTATTTAGCTGATACGTTCATCGTGTAACGCATCTAGTTGTGGCTTCGCTTCCCATGCCTGGCAGTGGCGGTGTGTGACCATGCGCGAGAGTATTCGGTCAACCTGATAAAGACAATGATGGGCCAAACGGTAAAAAAACACATGTTGCCGTTCGGCGATTTGGCCATTTTCAATACACAGCACAAACTGATGCACACTTTCCTTCAATTTGGCACAGTTTCAATTACGACAGAAGTGCAGAAATTAGAAATCACTACACAATTGTGCCTGTAGTACAGCCTGAATATTGTGATTTGAAATATAAATCAGCATAGATCAGTAAAGAGGGAAACAGCGCTGTTACTAAAGATTAATGAGTGAAGCCAACAGCAAGAAGGTGAGACGACTATTGACTGTTCGACGCCTGCATTCCTGTGAACGGCCTTTGTCATTATACAGATAGTCTGTGCTGCACTTTGCGACTGCACTGCTTCAGTGTACTTAAGCCTGCGTGAATCGTTTCATTCATTGCCAATTGCTGAATGAGCCCATTCCGCTGACCGAGATACTTTGGTGTGGTCCCCAGAATCAAACATCAGAAACAGAATTTGTTGAAACAACCATCTGGCCACACTGAATATAAATTATTGGTTATTCTTTGCCACAACAACAATGCCAAGTGCCACAATGCCATTGAAATTCGATGCAACATTTCGCTATGCAATAAAAAACTGAGGTGTTTTATTTTTCTTGGCAGAACCCATACATACACCAAAGAATACTTCGACACAAACATAAACAGCGAATATACCACTGCTTGCATTGCCAAACGGACAGCGAATTTCCGTTGACTGTGCTCTCCACTTCAGTTCCATGTGCCCACCTGAAAAGCCAAACCTATGTTCCTGGAATACTTCCTCAGCTTCTCAATCTCCTCATCCGAGGCGCCTCCCAGTGTTGCACCACACACAACTGCAGCCTCCAAAAGTGCAGCAGTCTTGTGTTCATGGATGTACTCCAGCACGTCCAGATCAACCACCTTGCCCTCGCTTTCCAGGTCCACAACCTGCCCCGCCACCAGGCCCCGGGTCCCCACCGCCTTTCCCAGGTTTGTGATCACCTGTGGAAAGAGGACGCTAGAAGGTGAGCAACGATGCACAGAAAATTAGCGACTTCTGGAACATTTTGCACAGTATGGAAAATAGGTTGGCAAGTGTTTCTTATTAGGTGGGGGCATCTTCATTGTGTGATATAGAACATGCTGTCTCCATACATGCTGTCATGCTGTCATACATGCTGTCTGACATGCTGTCTCCATATATGTCAAAAACAGTATTCTCATCTGTCCATGGCTGCTGGTGATCAGCCAAGCAATCAACAGCAACAAAGATAAGTTATGCAATCTGCATTTATCAGATCATCCAGAATATTACGCAGCACTGACTCTGCACCTCTTGAAAGATGTGGAGTGCATAGAAAGGATTTGGAGTTTTCAACATTGAAACAGCATCCACAGCATGCTTCACTGGGACCACACGTGTGAGAGCACTGCACTGATACAATTTGTCCTATTCAAATAAAATCAGCCACAGAGTAAGAACACATTGTGACACAGCTTTATGCCAGAAAAAGCTTAAGTAAGCACAACTTTTTGCCACGTTCTTTTTCGAATCTATCCTGTGCATCAGCTTCCACACAACCATTCTGGCTGCACACTTCGATCAAAACAAAGCCTGCATGCTGCAAGCGATTCGCTCCAAGCTGACTGCATTTGCACAATGAGAGCAGCGATCAGTTGGTAGCAAACTGGGAGTGACACTCGTATATATCGACTGGCGCATCGACATGTGGAAACACTGAAGGTGCATCAATCTGCGTGATCAAGCCCGCTGAGGATAACAGATGACTTACATTGCACCTTCCAGGGTGGTGACAGGTATATTGAATGAAACCTTAACTGGGAATCTGTATATGCCGACATTGATCACCACTGAAAGCAGCTCAATCCAGATCGACCCTTCAGCACACCTTCAGCACCCTGTCAGCTGCAACCCCCTTGGTGGCACATGCCACATGCTCAAAAGCAAATGTCAGCAGGGCATCACCCGCCAGGATGGCCATGTCCTCCCCAAACATCTTGTGGTTTGTGGGTTTTCCCCGTCGGAGGTCGTCATTATCCATGGAGGGCAGGTCATCATGGATGAGAGACATCGTGTGCAGCATCTCCAATGCGCATGCTGTTGGCATCGCATTCTCCAAAGACCCTGGTCTCAACAGCCAAATGAGTAAGAGTAGAAGGATAGAACTACTTCCACATCATTTGTTGAAGCAATGCGCAGCACAACAGACTGCATATAATCACTGAACTAAAGTCAGATTACAATTGCCACAGCATGATTGTCACAAGCCCCGATTCTTTCCATGCAGAGTCATTGTGCACATGTCTTCACAGAAACGGAACTTCTGAAATGACATGCAGTGACAAGCGCACTGGCTAGGAGTGCATGATAACATCAAACATCCAAGTTATGCACATGGGCAATCTATGACTGGACAATTTTGCACAGTTGGTCATTCTCCACAGACCACAGGATTTTTAAAGAATCCAGTTTCTGGCAGAATCAGGTTTTTCAATTGGACGGCTTTGGCAGCTTAATGTGAGCTTGGAATGGAATTCAAGAGGGACAGCTATGAACAGCGAACTCGGACACTACCGCTTTTTCTCTGCAGCATTTTCAAGCACGGTCAACAGTTGTCCACAGCAGATCCATGCCCAAATGTCCCTTGCCAGCTTTATGGTGGTGAGGCAATTTTTTGTAACCTTCCGCAAGACAGTGACTTCCACAACCAACAGTTGGCTGTCCAGTTGACTTTCGGCTAGTATTTTCCTTTCCTTTTTCCCTTTTCCTTTTTCCCTTTTCCCTTTTCCTCTTCTTCCTTTCATTGGAGGAAAAAGGCCAGTAAAATGACCACGCTCACCTCCTACAAGCTCACAAGCTGCCAGGCAGAGAACTGGCCTCACTCGCTTGCCACCTGCCAATAGGGAGTACCTGTTCACAGCAACCACCCTCCCTCTGCTGATCGCCATTTTATGCACACACTACTCTCACATTGAACATCAGAAGGGCAAACATCGACTTTGGAGGCCTTAGATCACAGTCAGTATTGTCAATTGACGCACCGCATGGACTCATGAATGGTCTCAGGGCGTGCAAGAGGCACCGCAGAATCCAGCGCTGTTTCCACTAGCGCGGCTTGCTCTTTCATGTACCCCTTGAAGTCGAAGGTCTCTACAAAACCAGTAAAAATCTGAGGTTTAATTGATGCCTAGACAGATGTTCAATTCATGATTGCCACAGAAAAGATACCTGGCTGCAAACCGCCTCCTCACCTGCAAATTGTTCAAGCCAGGGACAATCATCAGGAAAAACTCAATAGGCATCCCTCCTGACCAACAGCATTGCCAACTCTGATTCATGTTGCAACCGATGATGCAAAGCTCGTCTAAAGCAGAGGAACAGGTGATGCCCATGAATAGACATGAACTCCGAGCGGCTCTATGGGCAAGTGCGGGAGTGAACTGAGGGGAAGGCAATCCATCAGAAATCCTGATGAATGGCACATAGTGAGGAGGAGCGCTTGTGAGCATTTCTCACCTGTTTCGCTGGTTGAAGGCGGCGGCCGCGTTTCCAGTTCAACAGCGTTGAGCACTACCTGGACAATAGAAAGGTCGCATCAAAAAGCGCTCCTCCGAAGGACAATTGACAATAGCAAATGGATGCGAGGTGCAGGGTCCTTTACAATAGCGTAACTGAATCGTGATAAGTCGCGGTAACGGCAGTTCAAGAACATCCATCCGCACTGGCCGATCAACCGTGTTGGACACTTCCAACGTGCAGCCGAGAAGGGACAGTACACACGAAAGTGCCGCCAACCCCCCTAGCGACCCCGCCCATCGCCAATGCCGCGCGGCAACATGGCCCTTCCTGGTAGCCTTCCAAGGGATATCGATGGTACGACGCGACCCCACGGAGAAAAGCGAAGCGACAGCGACAAAGCATCCCTTCCAGTCGCGCATCAGCACCTGTCCACCCTGTCTTCGGGCCGCCGGGACCGCCCTCACCGCCCCCCCCGTACGCAATCCGCACCCCTGGAGCGCGATGCGGCGCCTGCAGCGCAATGAAACAACCCAAGGTCAGGCAATGCAGAATGAATGGACCTGGGTCGCTGGATATGGGTGTAACTCGCACTGCCAAGCGGCACAGAGGAGTTGTCGGCACGCTCGCAAGTGGATGGCGAGGTCACAAAAGGCTCAAAGGTGCTCACATGCTTCCCAGATCGACGCCGGAGGTCTTCATCGTCAGCCCCCGCGAGAATAGAGGCTCTTCGGAGAGGCGTGCCCCTGGCAGCAGCGCACCCGCTGGGGGAACTCGCCGAGCGGGGTGCCGTGCAGCCTTCGACAGGGCGAGGAGGACAGATCAAGATTCTGGCAAGGGGGGGCACGTGATTTGCATATCGCTTTTCAGTGCCCAATCGGGACGTGGAATGCCGGTGACGCACAGTGACGTACCGGTGCGGCCCGGAGGCGGGCCCCAAGGTGTGTCGACGTTGCTTCTGCAACACAATACAACTGCATACAACACAGGTGGGTCACTGCGATGCTGCCTGCTCGTTACGCCACATAATGACTATGGGGATTATGGTGGAATGTGATACGAATATGGCAAGGGTGTTGCGGTGACATGCAAATGGAGAAATGAGAGGGGAAATGGAACAAATGTGTTTGCATGCACAATTACTGAACTGATACACTCATCTTGCAACGCATCCGGTTTTGGCCTTGCTTTTCATGTCTGGAAACAGCCGAGTGCAAACCTATGGTGAAATTCGTGCCGCGAATGGTCAGCGTGATAATGACCAGCGCGATAATAACCACCGATTCATGCGTGGATCACACTGTGCGGATGACCTATTGGGAATATGTTGCACCATTCTCAAAAATGGGGATAAAGACTGAGAAAAATGATCAAAGATGAATGCATATGGAAGATTTCCGTATGCGCATTGCTGCATCAACAATAGATGATAATAATTAAACACATTTGCGGCACCAGTGCTCTGCGAGTTCGACCACTTAGCAAGCATTTTTTTTTCGCAGTACTCCTATGTTGGTGGCTGGGTTTATGAGCTCAAAATACACCGCAATACACTTCTCCCCATATTTTGCAGTAGTACAGGTGGTGGTAAGTGTGGTTTCATAAACCTGCCACCCTCGGTCATAAAAATGGCAACATCTTTTCATACACATGTTATCGTATATTCATATACCGGCATTGGTCAGACATACACACTAGGTCATGTTGGATCATAGTTTGACCAATCCGCCTCATGTAACCACCACTTCCATATAGTTTGCAACCTAGCCTTGCAGATACTATGCAAGCTTACACATTCCAATCATCGTACTTCAGTTAGTATAAGTAAGTAAAATAAATCAATAACTACTCATATATTTCAACCCACAATCAATACTCTTTCCTAGACTGTCCCACTATATTGTGTTCGAGTGCCATGATGATACAAACAGCTGACAAACACCGCCAGGAGGGTGTCTATGCTTGGGAACAGCAATATGGCTCACCGTCCAGCCATATACGCTCAACGAAAGTCACTAATGACACAGCCACTATTACAGCCCTGTCAATCGCCCAGCATTTCTGAGCGTTCCGCTCCTGCACTTTTACCAACTTAGCTCATAAACACTCATAGGACAACGAGAATCACCACAGCAAGTAAATTCAAGCCCAACAGTACAATTGGGGTGTTGTCGAGCGCTGCCGAAGCGAGGCGCAACCCCAGAGCTGAACTTCGTGTTCAAGTTCACCTTAACCGTTCACACACAACGAGAAACATGCAACTGCTGATCAGCTCGACGAGAGGCACGAAAATACACGCTCAAACTGTGAGACAACGCTCCACACCTCGTTCAGTAGCTCAGTATACTGAGCGTACTGACCATTCTCCAGATGTCGCAAACCGATGTCGTCGATGCTCGTTCCCTGCGGTCCAGCGCTGCGCTCCACTCACTCGCCAAGCAACCGACGATGAAGACGAGTCGTTGAGTCGACGAAGTCAGTGCCCAACGTGGGCGCGCGCGGGTCAGTCGGTCAACGAAATGGGAATCGAGGTCAGCGTCGAGCTATGGGTATGTGCAGCGGTGCACAACCCCAAGGACAATTGACCCGGAGGGTCAGGAGGCGAAGGCACACGGAAACGAAAGTGCTCGTTACACAGCTGCTCCCCCTCGACCACGTTCGACCTTCACACACTCACAGCACGACTGTTTTCAACAGAGCACCCGCCGTTCAGACCGCTAGAACCAAAAACGGACGGGTGGGGGGCGGAGAGAGAGGGGAGAGGGGGCACCCACACCCCAAACACTCCCTCCTAAATACCCCCGCCAGCTCCAAGGGCACTACACTTCAGTGACCCTTGGATAAACAAACAGACACATCAAGGAAAAGGCCCCAGTACCCCTTGTACTCCTCAGAAGTTCCCATTGACCTTCTCCAAGTTGACCCTTTCCAAAGGGTCACACAATACAATCAAAAAATTCACTTGTGAACACTACAACACTACTCAACACCCGTCAGCGCCTCTTGGCAGTACTCCCATAAAAATGTACTATTGTACATCTTCTTCCCACTCACGCTGCGAGGAACTAATGGCAGTAGGTTCCTAAAACATCAAATTAGGGGGAATCCCCCTATTCAAACAAAAAATACACTTAGTACATTTTTTATCCCAATTACACCCATCACACCCCACAGTTCCGTAGTATGTATTGTCTCCCGGCTGCCTAACCCATTCCACCTCATTCTCCCCCATGTACGATATACGGGCCCTCAACTGTACCCCCTGCATCATCCAGCTTCCTTCCGGGCCTGGCAGCTCCACCTCCCACTCAGTCATTACGTAACACTTCCATCTCGACGCGGCGACCACCCCCCAGTACGCCCGGGTGGCGCGCTCCACCATCCCCACCGGCAGCCCCCCGTCTCCCTCGGCGAGGCCGCCCACACTCCCTTCTCCGGCCCACGTGAACGGCGCGGGCGGGCTGTCCGGGCCGTCGCGCTCGGCGGCCATCCAAGCATCTCGCTCGGAGATGCTCCAAGCTCCTTCGCCGCGCCAATTCGCGGCAAACACACTCCGTCGAAGTCGATCACCCAACCGGACGTTGGGGATCGCCGCAACCCAGTAGGCTTGAACGGCAAACAGCTGGCCGTTTCGGTGCCTTACTCGCCACCGAGTCGTGGCATCAAAAGCGGAATGGATCCAAAAGAGGGGCGTTCCTGGGCCGGAGGCCATGGCCCATGCCTCCGCCCCACCGAGCCCATTGCGGCACGCGAGCACCACTTTGCCCGCTTCGTCCGGGTCGACCAAAGGCTCGCCCGGGCCCCTTCGTCCCTGCGTGCACGGATCCACAAATATCCCCGGAGGGAGAGAAAGCACCGCTCCGCCATGGAGCATGGCGGAACCGGAGGGTCCGCCCACACCGAACGCGAGCACGTTCGACCCGCCTGCGGAACGTGGGGATGCTTCGGCCATAGCGAGGGAGGGCTTCCGACGGTCCCTGCACGGTCGGGGAGGCGGGGGTGTTGAGCCGGAAAGCGCATCGGGTACGGGGCTGGGTATAGGCGTATGAAGCAACCCGTGAGGGGACCGCATGCAGTGGGGCGCGGCCACGCCCGGTAGTCGCAGCACATATTAACGGAATATCAAAGGGCGCAAGGTTCTTGCATAAAAGTAAAACCACAAAGACTGTTAGTAGCTGCACTCCAACACATCCCATCACGCTTTCACTGGATTCCCTTATACTCGCTAAGATTGTTCTGGCTAAGGTCTCGGACTTGCTCAGTTCATCCAAGGACACCCCCTACGGTTCATGGTCTCCTCAAAAGCGTTCAGGAATTGGCCGTTTTTCCCTCTGAAAGTCACTCAAAGGGCCTTTACAAACCGGCCAACCTCTCACTCAGGGTCCCTCACCACACGCCCTGCACACACCATGCCTCTTTTTCCCCGGCTAATAGTACTGGACAATCTACCATAATCGCATACTAAACCCAATTCTGTACGCCCAAATTCCATCATCGTCAAACTGTATTGTATCCCGTCAGCATGCGGCTCCAGCTGACTAGTTTTTGCCCTTTTCCTTGACCAGTTCACAGCCCAGTCACAGCCGTCCGTGCTGCCCGTAGAGTGCTCTTCAATTGACGTCATTGTTGCTCATTCTGGACGGTTCTGATGAGCGGCATTGCAAAACAGCGAGATGGAGGACATCTCAGCTATAAATGCATCAATTCGTGTGCATTGGAGAGAAGCTGAGCGTGCATACGTTTGCCTTGATCATTCAGCAGCTGCATGACCGCTAAATGTAACTGTATGTCATGCGGTTCAATGTGATTTCTGCTGAGCACATTGACCTTTCCTTTCTCTACGGTTTTCTCTCAATTACAGTGGTGGCCATTTACTTGAGCAGAATGGACTGTAATCAAACAATTGCAATTTAGTACTCTTTTATGTAAGTATCTATTGAAAGTAAATATGCACTTTACATCTGACCTAGCCCTAGGCCCTCATATAACTCACACTAATTTAGCGCTAAATTACCCAATATTCCAAGTCCAGTTGGTCATTAGAGGTGGCCACCCGGATCCGTTAATAGCGGACGGGGGCTGCCGTCCGCTAATATCCGTTAATTTAGCGGACCACGCCCTCTCTGTTGCTGATGTGGCACGGATGGCAGCGGACGGCTGGCCCCAATCAGCGGATTCTGCAGATTCCGCTTGGGTGTTAACGGATATTCTCTTACGGACCGGAAGCCATGTACCCCATCCGCTAATCTAGCGGATGACAGCGGACGTGTGTACCGAATCAGCGGATGACAGTAGAGCCCATGCAGTAAGTATTGATTTCCGAATCTGGGGATCGGGTTGATTGCCAGCGTGGCTCAGCCAGGGTCTACATACAGCGGACGTTGGCTGTGACTGCACACATATTTTGTTGCCCTCCTGTTGCCATCCGCCGTCTCCAACCCCTGCCGCCCCACGCTTGGGTCATGGACCCACCAGGTGAGGCATACCGTGGCACAGGCAAGGCAAGCCGCTATTGCGCGCCACAGTGAGGGGGCACGCAAAGGGGTTGTTTGATAGGGAAACTGGTTGCCCAGTGCGGGCACTCGAAGGCCATTAGTCCCGGGACCCAACACCGGATCCCAAGTACTGCATACTTGGGACCACACCCGGGCACCAGTACTATAGTACTGGCGGCCACCGCCCTAGTCTGGGTTATTATTATT